AATAAATAGCCATACTGTTATTCACGTTTCCTTCACTGTCAGTGCTCTCATTAACAATGCTTTTCTTTCTGACTTCATTGATGTTAGTGTTTCTTTTAGTGAATAAAAAAAAATAGTGGAACGCAGAACGAGCAGGGAAATAACACCTCAGAGTCTTACAGTCAGATCCTAGCTGGAATCTAAAATGCCTGTTGTAACTACATGGACAACAAAATACTGCTATTGTTGACCTTGAGGTGTACTTGGCAGTCCAACAACCGCCGCTTCACTCAGTTCATCAGTCCAACTCTGCGCGTACTACTACTTGCTGTGATGTGAATACACGCAAGTTTTCTTCCATTAAAGTGCAAGCGTCTCCTCAGCTCTGACTCCTATCTCATCTTTCTTTCAGTCGGTGCCTAACTGGATATTTGTCTTCGTTCCGGATGCTTTTGATCCTGCTGCCTACCGTGCTTCCCCTTCATCTTGCTGTGATCAGCTCTCTGAATGACCTCTACATTAGTTAGGAGTGCTGCGCTGAGCTGTGCTTTGTGATGAGTCGGATTCTTTGGTATACTCGAGGGCACGGATGGCTGCAGCAGTTAGGGCAGCCTTGAGTCCTAATACATGGCCCTGCAACTCAACAGCACAGGCTCCTTATAGTCAAACATACTCAGCATATTCAAGCATATTTGCTATTATGCAAAAAAGTATAGATTCTGCAAGTGTGTGTTTACATAAAGGAGACAGTTGTGCTTGTCTGAGCAGCATAGTTGAACTGTTCCTAGGCTTTTTGAAAGAAGCTATTGACTGCATAATAAAACACACAGAACCTAAAGCAGCAGACCTTTTTCCTATCAAAGCCAGCATAACATTTCTAGTCAGGCTATGCTGGAGAAAAACAATGATCAGACAATCTCGAGTTATGCGCTTGCTAGGGATGGTAATTGATAGGGGTTTAATGATACTAATGCCATTATCGAATATGCTTATTGATTCAATTCTTTTTTTTTATCAATTGCCATATGGTTTCTTGACCAAGTTTTATATAAGGAAACGAGTAAACGCCAGCTACTGGTAGACAGAGCAGTCAGCTGAGACTGCAAGACTAGTCTAACTAACCTGTGCACTGCCTGGATTGATTACAAGAAGGCCTATGACTCTATTGCCCCATACCTGGATCCTGGAGTGCCTAGAATTGTACAAGGACCCAACATCAACAGGACCCTAAGAGCCTTCTTCAGGAACTCAATGAGGATGTGGCAGACAACACTAGAGGCCAACTTCAAGCCCATAGCACAAGCCAGTGCAGGATCTGCCAAGGAGATGTGCTGTCCCACTGATGTTCTGCCTGAAGCCCCTCAGTGAGATCATTGGCAAGACTGACTATGTATCCCTACTACGGAACAGAGTAATTGTCCTGAGGTCTAAATGGGAGACGCCCCCTAGGGTGGTCGAGAATGACCAAGCTAAGATCCTGTGGGACTTCCAGATACAGGTGGACAAAATGGTGATGGCTAATTAACTGGACATAGTAGTGGTGGACAAGCAGAGGAAAAGGTCTGTAATGATAGATGTAGTAATACCGAATGACAGCAACATCAGGAA